AGGAACACAGACTCGTCAGCAAGATGGTTGTATGTTCGTTGGGAAGAATATCAGATGAAGAGAACATCAGGGTCTGCAGATGAATGATGTGTATATTTATGTTGCGGTCCGTATGTTGTGTGTGTGGTGTGTGTGGGTGTGTGTCTGATAGTCTGTCTAATAAGATTGTAATTATTTATTCCGAGTGAAAAACTGACAGGAAAATGTGCTATTTGTTTAATTTTGATTAACTACTTCACGTAGAATTAAAAAATGTAATTCACTAATTAGCAATAAATTGTGTGTTTATTGTTTAAATAAAATTGAAATTTCAAACTTGAAATATCAAAGAAATTGGTAGAAGACATCTTCATAAATGCATTTACTTGTTATGAAGCTCCTGTCTGCCTCAATATTATCATGATGCCCATCCTATTGGACTGTTGCAAGTATAATAACTATTCGACAGTGGAAGCACTCTTGAAATTCGTATGTTGCCACTTTTTTGTTGTATGGAATGATTAAAGGTGTACGAACAAATTATGTTGTGAATAAATAGAGTAAGTTGGGATTTATGACGCTAAAGACGAAACTATATTTCCTTTCCAGGTGCTCAACAAAAATGGGAAGAATTATAAATGCGTTTTTGACAAATTTTTGGCGATGTTAAGAGAAGTTGTGCCAACTTTACAAAATGATGGTAGGTCAGGTACTTTGGATGTATGAAAGTTATGTTTTCAAAATTTCTTGTTGGTAACTGTATTGTAACAGTTAATAGGTGTGCATTGAAGGTTTATTTACGGCTGATAAGTGATTAATATGAAGAGTTACGTTAAAAAATTTGTATTTTTTAAACCTGGGAAACATCAGGATGATAGTGATGGTTATGGTTATTGCTGATAATAACAACGATATGAACTTGCAGATGGTGGACAAGGCAAAGATTTAACATCTGTAACAGTAGCAACAACATCAGGAGCAACATTAACATGTTGCATGAAACTTTTAACACTCGTGTCAGATATTCGGTCTAATCTCTTAGTTGCTTACTTGGGTAGCTTCGTATCTATGCTCGATAAATCCTTCAAAATTTATGTAAGAAAAATTATTATTTTAAAGTTGTAAAGTTAACTTGATGGCAGTTATTGTGATTAAGTTGGTTTTATTGTTTTATTCATTATTGAACTATACAATTTTTAGCAAGAGTTGCAAGGAAAAGAGCGCATCCAACAGCAACTGACTGATGCCAGTAAATCGACGTTAACTTTAAATTTACTCCACATCATAGAGAAATGCTTGCCAGGAAACAAGAAGAATGATTCACATTTAGTGAACAGACTGCAGCAGATGTTGATAAATATAGTAGAATTGCATGGCAACATTAACGTTAGTTATAACCACTGATATGTTTCATTTAGATTTTGATTAACATTAAAAAAATAGCGGTCTTTTTGTTTGAAATTTTTCATATTCAACTTATCAGTTATGGGCTTAAATCTAGAGAAGTCAGATGTAACTTTATAGCAAGATAACTTCATTTTAATTTATTTTTAACAATTCTACTTGTTCCATCCATAATCTCTTACAACAATACATTGAGAAAATTTACATAAAACAACTTCTATTTAATAATTTTTTTTAAACTTTTAATCACCAGGTTCTGGAAAAATCATTACAATGTTTATCTGTGATGGTTGAAAATAATTTAATTGATAGTTCTGCTGTTGAGATTATATTCAGACGTGAGCTAGGTAAGCATTGAAATTTTTTCCTGTAAACAGTTACCTCCATGAATATAAATGGATATGATTATATACCATATATATATATATATATATATATATATATATATATATATATATATATATATATATATATATCAATCAATCAATCAATCAATCAATCAATCTTCGTTTTGCGTCCAGAGACCCGGTTTTCCGAGGTAGGACGTTGTTTTCTTTGCCATCAACTTTTTGCGCCAAATTAGACGATCAGTTGTATCCATTTCATTTAAATTTAGAGCTTTCATGTCTTGCTCGATTGTTTGCGACCAAGACTTCTTTGGACGGCCTTTGGGACGTGTGCCAGGTACTTCATATTTCAACATCTGCAAGAGAAGTTATGGCACTGTTTCCACTTCGTTTGACATGACCAAACCACCGCAGACGGTGTTGCCGGCATTCGTCTTTTATATCATCTAAACCAGCACGACGCAGGATTTCGGTAGATTTGATGTGGTCCTTCAGACTAATTCGTTGCACCCATCGGAGCATTTTCATGTCGGTTCGTTGAAGTTGTTGTTCCAGTTTGGTTGTCATTGGCCATGTTTCTGCACCATATAACAACACCGGACGTATCACAGATTTATAAAGTCTTGATCGTAGTGGTAGTGGGATGTCACGCCGCATCAATATAGAGGCAAAGAGATGCCATTTATTCCAGGCTGCACGTATGCGTGCTCGAACGGCAGCTTCAGCTGTTCCAGTACAATCCAGAACATCCCCTAGATATTGAAACGATGTGATTTTCTCTATTTTAATGGCTTCAAAAACAGTGCTATTTTGAATTTGTTGTTGTGGATTGATGCAAGCAGGACAAACAAAATTGGACACTTTAGATAAAGTACCAATTATTTTTGAACAACGTTTGTGACACCACTGGTTACACTGCTGACACTTGATTGAATTGTTACCTACACCAGCTTTACAAACTGAACAGGGCCATCGTCCAGTAGCTGTGGATTGGATGGGTTCCCAAGTGTTCATTGCTTTGGTTTTGCTGATGTTGACTTTGAATCCATGATCGGCGAGTCTGGTGTTCCAATCTTCAAACATCTGTGCTGTATTCTGCTCAGACGTGGCTGTTAAAACAATATCATCAGCATATACTAGATTCCAAATGTCACCAGTGCGTATCGGTTTTGTGATTTCTTCCATCACAGTTATAAATAACAGTGGACTGAGAATCGAGCCTTGGTGAACTCCAACGCCGATGTCAAATGCATCTGTGTTTCCAACCGTTGTGCTGACAAGAGTCTTAGTATTCGTATACATTTCCATCACAAGTCGAACAAGATATTCTGGAATGAGTTGTCGACGTAGACTCCACCTGATTGCTTCACGGGGAACTCGATCAAATGCTTTTTCAAGGTCTACAAAAATGTGTGATAGTTGTTGATGCTTTGCGAGGTACTTCTCTTGCTGTTGCCGAAGGATGTGAATTGCATCAATTGTTGATTTCCCCGCTAGAAAACCAAATTGATAATTTCCAACTGTGATGCACGACGTTAATCTTCTCTCAATGATTTTTTCGACAATTTTCAGGTAGTGTTCTAACAGACGTATTCCCCGATATGATGAACAGTTCAATGGATCACCTTTGCCTTTGTATAGCGGGACTGTCATGCTATAGTTCCATTCAGTCGGCATTGAGCAATTTCTCCAGATTTCACAGCAAAGTTGTAGTAACGTTTGGATACCTGTAGTACCAGATGCTTTGATAATGTCATTTGTGAGTCCAGAGGGCCCTGCTGCCTTTCCATCCTTCATAGCTTTCAGAGCTTCTGTAAGCTCCTCTACAGTGATGTCTAGAATCGGACCTTCGATGGGTGGAGCGTCAAAGTTAACATTGATGGGATTTGTTTCGTTTAACAGACGATTGAAGTATTCTCTCCACTGTAGCTTGATCTCGTCTTGTTCAAGAACCATCTCATTTTTGTCGTTTTTGATACATGAGGCACCAACTATGTCTCTCTCTCTCTCTCTCTCTCTCTCTCTATATATATATATATATATATATATATATATAATATATAATCATGGTTAGCTCATACAAAAAGATATACTTCACATATTTACTCATTATTAGAAAGAATTTTGATAAAAATCTTTCATTTTATTTTCTTGGATTATTGTTATCGTTATAACTATGAAAAAGTTTCAATAAAGGTATCGTAATCATACTATTATATATTATTATTGATGTTATGGTTTTTTAACTAATTTTGTTTGGAAAACCAAATAATATTTATGCATTTTTCAGGACATTTGCAGAACTATGCAGAATCGCATTTAATGCAAAAACATGAAAACGCTGATTTAGATTACAATAAAAATAATAAATTTTCCATCATCAAATCATTACGTTTCGCTGGCTTGATCTGCGCTTTCTTTGATCTTGAATCTTTCAATGTAAGTAGGCTTGGATTGGCGGTTCGGTAATAATTTGATGATGGTTTTATTAAAACGATTGTGTAGGTAATGGTTGTTTAGTTTTGATACTAAATTTAAATATTGAAAATTTTCAGATTAAAATAAAGAATATATTTGAATGTTGCATGTTTTACATGCAGTCCAATGAAAGTATATTAATAACCAATGCTCTCTCAGCTCTAGGTAAATCTCGTCAAACATTCAACTGATTAATACATTCATTAAATTATTAATGTGTTATAATTTATTTTGACAACTATAATTTTTTTGCCAAACCATCTCTTCAATTTTTAGGATATATCATTAGAAAGCATCAAAATCTATTGATGGATTTCAGATTGAAAGATTTTCTACTCTTCAGTTTGCAACCACCACCATCATCAACCACATCACCATCATCATCGTCATCATCAGCAACAAAAACCCCATCGCCATCATTACCACCTGAAATGATGCAGGCATTAAAGTTGAGTACGTTGAAAATCTTGTTACAGTATTTCAAGACTGATGTGGAGAACAGTGACAGTATTCATTCTGGTTTAGTATTTATTTCTTTTGGCAATAAAAGTCATAGTAAAAATAATTACAATAAATACTATAAAAATATTGCAGTATTCCGAAGAAAATAATTACTGAATAATTGTGTCATTAGCGTTATCAGATTTCTTGACAGATCCTTACTCTGTCTGTTTTTTTACTGGAAGTTAATATTTAAGAATTTATTTTTATTCTAATCTCATCTGCTTGTTGATGCTGATATTTGCAGAGAAATTCGAAGACGCATTTTTTCTGAATGAGAAAAATGATAAAATGGCAGAGTCAGTTCATTTTATAATTTATTAATCTAAATAACTTCCTTGTAAATTATTTTTAAAATATTTTTCATTCTCACTTTCATTTTGAAGCTCAACAGCATCGAGTCAGATGGCTCAGCTCTTTTTGAAACCTCTGCTGAATTGTTTCACCGATAGGAGTTCCATTGTTAGGACTCTTTCACTGGACATCATCATCAGTACTCTACATCTGGGACTCACGCATCCTGCTTTGGTTGCATTCACTTTTATATTATTATTATTAAATGATGATGATTATTATTATTATCATCATCCTTTTTATTATGATAGTGATGATGAGGCGGATGATCATTTAGTATAAGATTTTTTACTTTTTCAATCAAAGAACAATATGACGAAATTATAAAACAAAATTATCTCACAACATGCTTATGTAAAGCTAATGAATGTGATGATAATTCACTGGCACATAATATGACAGTCATGTAACGTTGATAATGAAAATGATGTTTCATTTTGTACTTTAGTGTCTACCTTACTTGTTATCTTCATGTACGTCAGTTGATGACGCCAACACATCCAGCAAAGCTTATAAATGGCTTTTGCATCTGCATAAGAGATATCCTCAATTTGTGCAGGTTAGTTATGGTTATCTAAAACTATTCAATATTTTGTTTATTATTTTTTAAGCTTTTGTTCAAACTAATGTTTAGTTATTATGATTTTGCAATTTGAATATCGACATAACAAATGTGATCATTCTTAAAGCTAAAGCTTACTTAACTTATTGACGACCAGGCATCCATGTTAATGGGATTACGACTCTCTTACAACATGCACCACAACACTTCAAAAGCAGAAGAAACAGTAAGAGGTCACCTGGAATCAAAAGACCATTTGATTGAATCAAAGTTTAAAATTCCTTTTTCGTTTATCCAGTCAAATATTAACCAGAGGCATAGTTTCTTTTTATCAGCGTTGAAATTGTTTGATGGCTCCTACCATCACACAACAAAAGCAGCAGAAAATATTCAGGTGCAATGCTTGCTGTGTTGCTATATAACTCTACGTAGATTAATCTTTTATATTTAAATTTTAAAAATGAACTATAATTGAAATTTATACTTTAGCAGGGAGTAGAAATCAAGGAATTGTTATTCATAGCAGACAACATGGCCTCATTTGCTTATCAGCGATTGGAGGAAGTTTTATTCATTATAAACCGCATTGACCTTATTTTATCACAAACGGGAATGCGTTTCTTAAAATCATTTTTTGAGGCATGCTATTTTCTTCTTTTTTTAAAATTTTCGTATAAATAAACTTTTTCATTATTGTTTTCATTTTACTTGCTTGGGCATTGTTTCGGTGAACTTAATTCAGATAACGAAGAACAGAAATTTTTCAAATAATCCGCCAAATGACATCCTTGTTAGCAAGAAGAACGATAAAAGTCGCAAAATTAAACAGAATAACACAAAAAAGAAAATTAAAAGTATGAACATAAATAACCAAGATGATGGTGAAGACGACAATGAGTGTGAAATGAAGCTCATAAAAGAAAATTGCTCAAGTTAGAATAAATTAACTTACGAAGTTTTAAACCAATGTGTCTTCATTATGTATGTACAACTTTTTCATTGATGATTTCTAGCTTTTGTAAAATCTTTGCCCGAAACCGAGGCAAACAGACTAAGACATCAAGTGCATCAAATCCAGGGCTGCCTGCTGCTTGTTTATCTGAGGGATCATCTGAAAAAGTTGTATGACATTTCAGATGGGTAAATGTTCAAGTTTACCGTTGAATATTTTTCCGATTGTTCTACAATGCTTTGTTCATACACGATTTGTGACAGCGATTTATTTGTAATATTTGAGAGCCAGCCATTTGTATTTACTTTGTATCATGAGCTATTCTTGAAATATTTAGTAAAAGTTGTAACAACAATGATTAGGCATTAAGCTCTTTATATTTGCTGAAGATTTCCAAACTGTTATTAAAAGTTTAGATACCCTAGTTTAAATATTGAAAATTCCTGGTTTGACACAGAGAGGCTTTGCCCAATAAATGATTTCTCATTGCAAGAACATTTTCATGTTTTTATAATTCTTTAAATTACGATTCATAATTCCTTGCAGTTTAGTGCAGGAGTTTTCACGTGCGGGCAATGCCAAAACATTCGATAAACTGATACAGAAGAAATCAAACTTGCTATTAAAGCCTAAATTAGTTCTATTGCACATTGATGGTCCTCAAGATGAACAGTTTATGGTTGACACGTTTATGGAGGTAACTCATTTTTCTCTTTATTTAACTAAATCTCTACAACTGCTCTACTAAAATCAAGTTATCCATTCTTCTACTTTATTTCCACAGATCCAGAAGTCTTTGACGATTAATGACATGTGCATGAACCTCGATTGTTAACTTAGGGATAAATTTGAATTTGAATTTATTATATATATTATTGTAATGAGTTTATTACATTATTATTACGCGTATATATACGGGTCGTGTATATAACTGTTTGCGTGGTATACCGTATGCATGTGTATGATTCGTGTGTTTTATGTATAAACTTGTGTAGTGTCTAATGGCTCGTTCGTTTTTAGAAACTGTTTTTAGTTTATTTCGCAAATTGGTGTTTCACCTTTAAATAAATAGTTTATATTTCTAATGTTGTTCCTACTAAAAATGGTATACGTGTCGGTTTTCGTACAGTATATTTTACATAGTATTTTAATTTTAAATTTTTATCTCAAACTAGGTCAAGACATATCTAGTATCTTTTTACCTATTTTTATTCTTGAGCTTGATTTGTTTGATTGAGGATTGAAATGGTAAGTTTCTTTTTTATTGGCATTTAAATCTATAATTTGGATGAATAAATGTGATCAAATATGTCGTAAGATCAGTTAGCACAAAAGTTCATTTAAATTTCGATTATCGGAGAGATCTGTGTCGTATTTTATTATTGCTGGTATATAAACAGCGATTTACGCTGTCTGGTTGCTATGATTTTTGAATTAAATCAGTTTATTTTTGAGTTCAATTTTATGAATTTTCTGAGAAAAAGTTGATTGACGTTAGTTTTGATAACTTAATGGTGGTTCAGTGAAAATTTTTTTACTCCTTATGATAAACTTCCATTGCCTCCTGTCCTATGGCTTGTGTGAGCCATTAAGTATTTTTGTTATATATATTCATATAATTTATAATAGTAGTGTAATTGTAATCGTAATGTAATCTTAGTGTATATATAGGTGTACTATAGTAGGAGTATAGTACTATATAAATAAGTGGATGTATAAATGTAATTATATAAATAATTAGTATAGGCATCCTTTAATACATATTTGCTGTGTTACATTTTGTTAGTGTTTGAGTTATATTATTGTTACTAATTGGATGATCTTGGTTTTAAGTTTAACGTTAGCTGCTTTTTTAGTTTTTTTTAAAACTTATTTTTCTGAATAAATAATGATTTTTAATTAGTGTCCGTAAATTTTTTTGCAGGTTCATGGTGCTTTTATTAATTAATTAATTAGATTATGAGGGTTTGCTTCATCACATCTGAATTTTAATAATGCAAAATCAGGTAACTTGGAATCATTTACTATTTTTTTATAATTAATCTATAATGTAATTTAAAAATTTGATGAAAAATTTACCATTTTATTTTTATTATTAATTTATAAATTAATTTATCATAATTTGCTTTCTGTTTTTAATAAATAGGATAAATCATTTAGTTCGAATCTGAGTCAGCCTCTCCTTCAGAAGGTTTATGTCCAGACGAGTAATGCACAAAGTTCTTCGTTGAATCCCTACAACTTAATCAGGTTTTTGTTTTTAAATTTGAATTAATTTTGATTTTTTTGTAATTTTATCTAATTTTTTGTTATTATCTCGTCGTTTAAGCGATATTTCTAAGAAATTATTTTTTGATTTATTTTCTTGTGTCTATTTTTCTGCAGTGTTAGATTGACTTGTTGTTAATTATTTATGTATCAACCATTTTGCAGCTATGAGTTAAACCACTGAGTATAATTTATTATTCAAATCGTATAGGTACCAGGGCCCAAATGCATTGCATTTAGTGGGAGGCACACCATCTAGCAACCTTCACCTTCAGCCAATGTCATCTCTGATAACAACATCTGCATCCATTTATCAACCCAACCAGATGTCAACATGGAACTCCTCATCTCAAAATAACAACTCATCTTCCACAATTGATGTTAGTTGTTATTTTATTTTAAAGTTTCATATAGATGCTTATAACATTTGATGTATCAACATGTTGAAACAATTTTTATTTTTCTGTTGTTTTCTAATTTGAAATCTGCTGATCCCGCAAATGATCAAATTTTGTGCAATACTCCTAGCTTTTTTTGGTTAATTTTTTGTCTTGAATTTTTCTAGGCTAGCAATCAAAATAGTTTTTCATTTTATGGAATTTTTTTGTTGGTATTCATATAAAAATATTATCGTGCAATAAGTTTAAATTTTACTTCTGCAATACTGGATTGGCATTAGTCGTGGTTTGTGATAAATTATTCTATATTGTTGATTATTTTTGAAATTCTAAATCATGGAGTCAGAAATTATTGCATATACTGATGAAGCACACAACATTGTTTTTAAAAGTTAAAATAAATTTGTGTATGCATGTATATAGTATTTTATGTTTATACAACAAGCAATCAAATTTATTCAAAGCTGATCAGCATCAGATGTAAGTTGATCAATTTTAACTGTCATCATCAGCAATAATGTAAACCATCGATCACAATTCAGCAGCCAGCCATCTTGCATCAACCACAGCCACAGCAGCCACCTCAGCAGCAACAACCGCAACAACAGCAACAACACATAAACACTCAACTGCAGCAGAAGTTGAAAGTAGAAGATGCACTGACCTACTTGGACCAGGTCAAGTTGAAGTTTGGTCACCGGCCTCAGGTCTACAATGATTTCCTTGACATTATGAAGGACTTCAAATCTCAAAAGTTGGTCCTATTTTATGTTTTGATTGGTTTTTCTGCCATTCCATTTATTAATTAATTCAGTTTTTTGACGTGAAGATGTACTTATTTATTTATTTTTTCATGAGGGTCAAAAAACTTTAACACATTATTCTTTTCACACAGTGGCTAAAAATTGTTTAAAAATTTTATCAATAGTTCTAATGTTAAATTACTTTTCTTTCTAATACAGCATAGATACGCCAGGAGTGATCAGTCGAGTGTCCATCCTATTCCAGGGCCACAACGAGTTGATCGTGGGCTTCAACACCTTTCTTCCTCAAGGATACAGTATTGAGGTGCAGAACAATGAAACTATCAACGTCCACCAACCAGGTCAGCAGGTCGTCTCACTCAGCTCGTTAGGCAACTATACCACAACTGCTGCCACCAACAACATAATTGGTACTGCTGGAGCTGCTGCTAACACCGGAACTGTACTCCCTGGAAATGATCGTGTAAGTTCGGCGGGGAACAATGGTGGTGCTGGCATTCGTGGTGGAAGTGTGGGAAGTACCAACAATCACGTTGGTGGGGCTTTAGTTGGCGGAGGACATGCAGCTACTGTTCCTGTTACTGCTGGTGGGAGTAAAGGTGCAAAGACTGGCGTCGGAGATGTACCTCTTTATAACTCTCATCTTCCTCCTCATCATCACCATCCTCCTCTTCCTCCTTCTCCCTCTTCTTCTACTTCCCATCAACACTACCAGCAGCCTTTCCTACCCGTCAGTAGTTCATCGAATGTTCTTGCTGCTGTTTCTTGTTGCTTTCTTTTTTGTTGTTGGTGACATCGCTGTTGTGAATGATGATTTTCATGGTTTCTGATATTTCTGCTGTGGTTGTTGGATCTGTTTTTGGATTGTTTTTTGTTTTGTCTTCTGACATTTAGATTATCTCAAATGGAATTTGCAATGAAGCAGTCATCATTATACAACAAACAACAACAATAATAATAAATTACCTTTTTGATTTTTTTTTTGTTGCACAAGGAATCACGTTTTTTTAATTTATATTTGACCTGTGCAGGTGTCAAAACAGCAGCAATTGATGAACAACAATAACAACAGTAGTAGTAGCAGCACCAATTTTGAGAACATGAGCCAGGCATCCATTAACTCGTTCAGCACTAGTAACAACGTCACCAACAACGCCACCACCAACAGTAATAACGTCCCTAGCAACAGTCAAGGCCAACCAGTTGAATTTAACCACGCCATTAATTATGTGAATAAGATCAAGGTGACGTTAATACTGGATATTTTTTTAGCATATTTAACTTAATTGCTAGTGAATTTAGTTTAATGAGTTTAAAATATTTCCCATAGGATGTGTTAAAACTTTATTATTTAAGTTGAACTCTTTGTTATTGGTTGTTAACGTACTAGAATGATTAATAACAAAATGACTAATGTGAGCATGAGCCATGTCATGTGAATTATCCTCCCCTCGAACAACGACTACTAGGAAGTATATTTAATTATAATAATAATATAATGATGATTGTGGAGATGATGGTGATGGTGAAGGCCTTGTTGATAATGACAATTGAATTGTGACTTTTTTAGAGTTGTTTACCAAGGCAGGCCGGAGATATACAAAAAGTTTCTGGACATCCTTCACAATTATCAAGAGGAGCAGAAGTATTCAAAAGAAGTCAGTTTTTCTTTGCTGTTGATTGCTATATTATTATTTCATATTGCATTTTCTGTTCTATTTGCGTTCGTCCGATTGCTACTTTTCATTTCGCTTATATATCTCTCTAGTTGTTTATCATATCTGCATTTTAATTATCATAATGGATTGTCAGAAATCGTGTTTGGTATAAACAGCATATATATATATATATATATATATATATATATATATATATATATATATATATCATAACAACAACATATCAACAAGACAATAAAAACGTAACAACAGCAGGTATATCGCCAACCGAGCAACCGATCACCAGTGTCAGAAGCTGAAGTTTACGAGCAGGTCAATATCATTAATCATTGTTGTTGTTGTTGTTGTTGTTAATATTTTTATTGTAGTTAGTAGGGATTCACCGGATTTAGGTTTTTCAAATCCGGCCGGGGCCTGACTAGGCCGGATTTAAAATTCAAAAACCGGCCGGGACCGGATTTTAGTTATCATTTTACATACGTTAGAAAAAATACTCACATTTACGGTTATCTACATGTTGATCATCAAAAACTAACACCGAGCAAATGGTTAATTATTTCAAATATATGAATAAGCTGTGTGATACGCCAAATACGTTCTAGTTACACTTATATATGTATAAGCGCACATTATTTCATTTATATGAAACACGAAATTCATGTGCACGCCTTATAACTAAACGCACGATAACATCATTATAATGTACACAGAGCTAATAAACACGAAATTCACACGTGAACTTTCCTAGCGCGCACGCTGCTTGACCATGTTATACAGATTAAAAGTACTCAGTCAATAATTTATGCATAAAACTTATGGCACAAAGAAATGTGCATACCAATAAAAGATGATATTGTTATGTGTCATGTACTGATGCGAGCGCGTATATCTTCCATACTTATTAATAGTTGAGCTACCAATACACAATTAAGTCAATGATAGAAAAATGTCCAGCTCACTTCACAATTAGTGATGTTGTTATTATGTGTCATGTATGCCTAGCCTAACCTTTAACATAAGATGTCCTTAAATTATGCGCTTATGTAGTTATTTGTATATATATTGTGTAGCTATATGATCCGTCATGTACAATTATATAGCATATACACTTGCACAAGTTCTTTTACACAAAGATCAGCTTATAATTTATGCATAACCCATGTTATAGCATAAAGAAAATTGTCCAGCTCATCTCACAATTAGTGATGTTGTTATTATTTGTCATGTATACTTAGCCTTTAACTTATTGACATAAAGTTAAATGAATTCAATAAAATTTTTTTTTCTATTTATAAAATTTTTAAATGTTGATAGACGCTTAAATCCGGCCCTAAATCTCAAAAAGCAAAAAAAGTCGGATTTGGGCCGGGGCCGGGGCCGAACTCCGGTGCATCCCTAGTAGTTAGTTTACATTTCATTAGGTTTTATTTTTAATAACAAAATAGAGAAATTGCTTAATTGCGTTTCATGATTTCGTAGTAGATGAAATTACAAACGATTATTATTTCTCAATTCACCAGGTGTCAAAGTTGTTTCATGATCAGCCAGAGTTGCTACGTGAATTTAGGCAGTTTCTACCCGATGCCAATGGGGGCAATGACCTCATGAGAGGAGTGGGTCTTGTTTGTTTTTTTCTATTACTTTTAACTTGTCAAAAAATTAGTTAACGATGATAAGTGATGGCAAATGATGATAATTACAATAGTGATGATAATGATGAAAATGATGAGACCATCTTGCTACTTGGCAGTTTGGATCCCAGGACCCATCATCGCAGAGCAGCAGGATGGACCACCACCAACATCATCAACAACAGCATCATCAGACACGTCACCAAAGTGTGAAACAGGAAATGAACCCACAACAGCAGCAGCATTCGATGAAGAACAACATTCACAGTCCAGGCAGGGGCAAGATGTCCTGGTCATCTTCGTCGTCACCCTCCTCATTCATGCCTGCCACTAAGGTTGGTTGGCATTCACTTAATTTTTCGTTTGACTGAATGCTTGTTGGTTGATTGATTTTTTACATTTTTTTCTGGATTGGTTGATTGGTGCATGTTATTTGATTGGAACATTGGATGAAGCATGCTACATTATATTAGTTGATTGTTGTTTTATTTTGTATAATGTAAAATAATTCTCTACAACAGAAGCAGAAGCTGAATCAGAGAAACGTTTGCAACAACATCAGCAACAATTCACTGGCAAACAATAACAGTGAGAGCATCAACAATTCAGATTATAATTTCTTTGATCCGGAACTCATCAAATATGTAAGATGACTTCATTCACTTCAACTCTTTTAACAATTTAAATTAAATTACCATTCCAACTATTGAAAAGTAGTGCGAAAGTCAACACAGTATATTTTGATTTCTGTTCAAGTGAATTTAGTTCAATGTCTAAATTATTAATTTTTTTTATTAAATAATGACAGTTGAACAAGCAGTCAATAAAGGAACCCTTGTACAGAGAGGTTCTCAGGTACATCAATCTACTGATGAAGAAGGCCATCAACTTTGCTGAATTTAACAAATCTGTCGATCCTTTGGTGGAGTCAGTTGATGTTATGTGTTATTTTGAAATTTAATTTTTTGAAATTCATTTACAGCGTTTTATTGTAAAGATAATGCTAGATCTCTACTGCAGAAATGCAAATGATACGTTGAAAATTTTAGTTTGGTAACATGTATAATGATGTTGAAACTCCTCATTGTTATTACAGTAAACTGCCTGGTCTGAAATCATACTTTGAAAATTACAAGTCTTATTTTGACGGCAACGGTGATAACAAAAGCAGCATCACCAAGAGCAACAAAATGCATCAGACGTCATCTCTCCATCACCAACAGCAGCATCACCACCAGTTACAACATCATCATCATCATCATCCACCATCTTCATCGTCTTCGTCGTCATTGTTGGTCGTCGACTTTGACTCAAATAAGTTGATGTCTGGAGGAAGCATGAGTGTTGCAGACCGGAGAAGCTGTGCACTTGAAGGAGGTGGTGGCAGTAGTAAGGAGAAAATAGTGAAGTTTGACAAGCATGCACACATTGGTAAGTTATTAATTTATTATAATAATTAATTAATTAATTATTTATTTATTTATTATAATTTACTCTTAACAAGTTTAATGCAAAAGCTAATAAGTTCAGCTTTTTTCTCATAACTTATTTCATTTTGAAAATTTTGTTGAATTTTTTTAAAAGCTATTATATTATATTATTATATTTGTTATCAGCACAACATCACCACACTTCAACAACAACAATGATGATGATGACGTCTACAGATTTGTCAACATGCAAGCAGTATGGCAAGCATTACAGAGAACTTCCAAAGAATTACATACAGGAAACATGCAGTGGACAAACTGAACTGGAGGAAGAGGTGATGATGTTGATTGCAATAGTGATGATTATGATTGTGATATAGATGATGATGATGGAGTATACTGATGATGATCACGATAGATTATATGCATATATATGCGCGCGCACACACCCACACACACACACTATTAAGTTTCAACTTTTTGCCACAAAGGCTGTAGCATACACATATGTGCATGTACACACCCATATGCAACAGATGTGACAATCTTTTCAGTTTCGAACTAGGTCCATGTGCGATATGTATAACCCTAACATGGCTTTTCTGCTCTCTGAGCCGGCCAATGATTTCAGTTACGATGAGGATTGGTTGATTAAGAGTTGATGGTAATTGGATGCTGCTATAAGATGCGACTTTTATGATGATGCTAGTGATGTAGGTTGAAGATGGTCAGTGATCCATGTCATTTCTTTAATCCTTTTTTAAACAGGTTTTAAACAGCACCTATGTATTGTTTCCTGTCTCCGGCGGGGATGAGGAAAATGATCGTGCAAGTAATGATGACGACGACGATGATGTTTCCTGCAGAAGAAACCCATTAGAAGATCACGTCTTCCAGTGTGAAGATGAGAGATATGAGGTGAGTGAGTCTAGATGAACTTTTCATTTATTGGTCATCATTCTTTAAAATAAATATTAGATTAACCAGTCATATGATTAATCATATATCATGTCAATCATTCATTTGATCAACCAATCACATTCAATCAGTCCATCCATCTTATTAACCAATCAGCTGGACATGGTGATGAACTTGAACATGAGCGTCCTGCTGGGTTTAGAGTCACTGGCGCGTCGCATGAGGAGCATGACCTCGGATGACCTTGGAAGGTTCCAGATCAATGACCTCTCTGCAGCCATTGGAATATCTGAACTCAATATCGAAATTGCTCTCAAAAGGTTTCGTGTTTTTCATATCTCACATATCCATTTTCTCTATCTATCCATCTCTCTATCTCTTTCTCTCTCTCTCTTTCTCTCTCCATCTATCCATCCATCTATATGTTTGTTTTTTTATCAATTTGATCATGTCTGTCTATGCTTACACTCATCTCTCCATCTTTATCTCTGTTCTCTTTGTACATCTCTTTGTTAATTTTTTTATTCTTTCTTTGCATGTTGATGTATAGAACGAATTGTTGGTGAAAGTTTTTCATTACAAATGCACTTTCAGTCACTAATCAACAGTTCTGATGAAAATATTTTCATATATACACACGTTTCATTCTGTTCCAGCCCTACGCAACCTTGTTAACTTGTATATAAATGGCAACGCGCAGGGTTTATGGTGACAAGGGGTTGACGTTGATTGAGGGCCTGAGGAAATCTCCCCTCGTCACTGTTCCGATCATCATCAAGAGTCTCAGGAGCAAGGATGTCGAGTGGAAGGAATCCAAGAAGAGTTTTGAGAGGTACTTACCTACTTACCTACCTATTTCTAATTATGATTGGTTCATTTTTTTAGCTGTATATAAGTGTGAAATGTCTATCTTGTCTTTGCTATAAAATTACATTTTAAAATAGTCTGGCTTTACAAAAATTTGTTGTCAGTTTATGGTGGAATTTAGCATATGAATTCATTCGTTTACTCGCACGTTTGCGTTGCTTTGCATTAAGATTTGTAAACAGCAATCTATTAGAAACGGCTTTAATGTTTGATTTTTTTCTTATACATTTGGGAAGGGCATAACATTTGCTTCATTCAATTATGACTAAAACTAAGGAACTATTTGCTAACTGATAACAAAGAAATATATTAAAGCAAAAACTTGAAGCATAATGGTGCTTATTGAAATTGAGAAACTTTTTGGACATGGTAAATACTGAATATTTGATAAAACATTTTAAAAACATTTCTCGAAAATAATTTTGACAACCTAGACAAATAAGGCATTTGGATACAATCTATTTATTTTGTTGACGTTTTCTTCATTCATTCGTTAATTCAGATTCTGGAGTGAGCAGATGGACAAGTTCTACTTGAAATCTCTGGACTTTGAAGGGCAGAGGTTCAAACAGGTGGATTCCAAGTACATCAGGTCCAAGAGTTTGGTCAAGGAACTTGAAAACATCATTAAAACTTCCCAGGCCACTAAAACTGCTTCTTCTAATACTGCTATTACTACTAATAATAGTAATAATAATAATGTGTTAAGTAGCAAAAAGAAATATGATAATGAAGATGATGGCGAGTTTGAAGTCACACCTGCCAAGAAGAGAAAACTATCATCCACTAAAAGCAATGACAACAACAGCAATAAAGCAAACGTGAAAAACCAAGAAAAGAATCAGCCTAATGAAAGCAACAAAATCTGCAACAAAAGCAACACATCTCACGCTAGCACCAGTGCAAACAACAATACAAGCAATGACAGGGGCTACAGCCACTTCACTGATGATTACATGAACCTCTCCTTACAAGATTACAATGTTTACCATGATGCTGTCTCACTAATCATTAGCAACATCACTCGACAGTCAGGCATTCAATCAGAGGAGAGAGATAAAATGAAGCGCATCTTATCCAATTTCCTGCCCGCCGTTTTAATTGCTGACTTTCAGTACGTTTTTATGACGTCATCATCGTCTTTTAGCGATGCGCAGAATGTGGAGGGTGATGTAAAAGTAAAGAAGGAATATGAAGAGGATGGCAGTGTTGAATTTAGTATGCTGCTTTTTCTGTTTGAAAATGATTTTGATTTTATAGCTTCAATTCTTTAGATCTAGATACATTTTATTATTGTTGTTTTATATATTGCATCAGCGTCACGATGTTATGTAGATGAATTGTTAAGTTATTGTATTTTAAAGATTATTTTCATCAACTTCAGTTCAAAGGATTGATGCAGCTAGTCTTGATTTTAAGAAGGAGCCACCTTATGATGAAGTAACAAGCAACAAGACCAACAATTTAGGTAGTGTCAAATCAGTGGCGTTTAAGGCAAAAAGTAAAGCACAACAGACAGCCGCATCGACACCTCTGCAGCATCCACCATCATCGCCAGCATTGCAACTGAATTCATCATCATCATCATCATCCTGCTCGTCATCACAGACCACGATATTTTACTGCAACGAGAACTGGTACGTGCTGCTGAGGTTAATGTTGCTGATTTGTGAGAGGTTGTTGATATTGAAGAAGAGGTCTGAGGAACTTTCGATGGAGGAGGAAAAGAACAAACTTCTACGTGATGTCATGACTCTCAGAGCCGTACAGGCCAAATGCCCCGGTATGTATGTCATCTCTTCGCTATTATTTCTTTCTTTTAACTTTTTTCCATAGCTATATTTCATTTTTTCCGGTTTTTACATTGCAAAATTATATTAACATTATTCAATAAAATTTGAGTTGATTGTTTTAAACTGATGCTTTATTTGTGCTTCAATCATTACTGTAACAGAATCGTTGGATCCAAGTTCCTTCTACTCGACTGCTCTTGACATGGTGAAGAATTTAATGAGTGGCAGTTTGGATGTCGGCTCGTACGAGGATCAGTTGAGGGAGATGTTTGGAGTCAACTGCTACCATGTTTTCACTCTCGATAAAGTCGTACAGAATGCCGTCAGACAGGTTAATGTTTATTTTTTATGTACATCTGGCTCTAAATTTTGAGTCACTTGTTTTTTGTGCTTGCTTCTGGTTTTAATTTTAATGTTTAATTTCTATTATTTATATTTATTCATTAATTCATTATATTTATAATTTCAATATTTAATTTCTGTAAAACGTAATTTAATTCAGAATTTTTTTATTTCACAAAATCAATCTTTCTTTGTTATATGCATAATAATTATGATGTAGCATTCTACCAAAAAAAATTGATAAACTAGTTGTGAATAATGTACATTTTCAACTGCATAATATTGTGAATGCAGTTACAACACGCGTCTAACAAGGATGAGAGCCAATTATTGCTGGAGGCTTACGAAAGTTACCTGCAACGGCATGTTGATGTCGATGAATACAGAACCAAGTGCCAGAGTCTGCTCTCTGAGAAGACTTGCTACCAATTTGTAATTGTCAAGGTTTGTGTAGTGTCTATACAGATATTATTAATTATTATCTTCCTTGATCATTTATTCACTTGTATTCACGTGTAAATGACCGATCATAATCGTTTTATTACTGAAACGTCAGGGAGAATCATCTGCTGATGTGAAGATCAGCATACTTCCAGAGGCACAGACTGTCAGTGATCTGGAGACCTCGTTGGAGCATCACCATCAACAACAACCACAGCTAAATGAAGGCCAGGATGGAAACCTACCTAAGCAATCAACAACTTCGTCGTTACCGTTACAAAGAGATGGGCTGACTTGGAATTCGGTGTCTAACAATCCAGTGGATGAAACTGATGCCATGGATGTTGGTGACTATGGAAGGAATGATACAGTAGCATCCGACGATAGAGGATCCAGTGATCAAGTGCACTATGAATTGCATTTGCGACGTAGCCACGTTTTGTTAGTTGACCGCCTGTTTATTTATTATATTATACTAACCAACTAATGTTTCTATTCTTTGAATGAGTTAGAAATTTTAATGATTTGATAATAAATTTTCTTTTGCTAATTAACGTTATTGTACATTTGTAGCAAGTTTCCTGATTTCCTGAGAAAATTCCGGCATAGGAAAGATATCCAAATGAACAATCCTCCCGAGTATGTTGATCCAAAAAATGTAGACGCCCGTCTAGCTCACGTCGTCAGTTTGTTAGATTATGCTGGTCGGGACTTTGTTCGAAGAAAGGAACAACTAAACATGCCCGACAATCTTGATGATAGTAACATCAACAAAAGTGGCGAGTACGACGACAACAACATCAGTGACCAGAGTGCTGGCAACGAAGGAATGGCTGATGAAGATAACGCCAGGCACCCTTTTGTTAATTCACAAGTAGACAAAAGTTATCTGATGAACAAATTCAACAATGCCTCTGAATGTGGCAACTCTGATTCTTCATTCTCATCTGAAACCGGGAGTCGGTTGATGATGGAATTAGGCTGCACAAAGATATTTGTATTCAAGGCTAATGCTTTGTCTAAAGCTCAAAAAGTTCGTTGGTCATTGTTTTATCAGTTGTTTCTTCTTTGTTTGGAGGTCAAATAATGTGTTGTGTTGTATTGTATGACCTGCTTCATTATATATATATATATATATATATATATATATATATGTGTGTGTGTGTGTGTGTGTGTATATATATCAATTATATTTCATTTTATCCAGAGTCACCGCAAAACAACGCTCCGCAGACTGAAACGTTTTAATGAGTGGCTGTACAAATGGACCAGCAAAAACATTACAGAGGATCAGATGGCGACGTGTAATCAGTGGTTTGAAGGATCCAATATGTCCACCGATTTGCCATTTTTATGTAAACAAGATGACGGTGGACAAACTGAACAACGTAAAATTAAAAGAGTTGTCATGAATTCTCATCTGCTAATAACACACAAAGTGAATGACAACAACTTGACTGCAACATCGGAAACACAACTACATGTCATAAATGACATTCGATTTGAGGGCAACATTGATGCTGGTGATACAGGTGATGATAACTCATTGACACCGTACAGACCTTATTACAAATATCTACTAACGCCCAAACATTCAAAATCCGAAGAACCGCCAGTATCAACGTCATCATCTTCATCCTCCTGATTATTGTACAGCACTGTGTGTTTATGTCTGTGTGTTTGATCTTGTATATCTAATTAGTATGCCTGAAGATGTGTGCTTAGGGATGTATATGTATTCCGTTCCAAGGCGAGTTGTGTAAGTATACATTTTTTTTTCTCTTTCAGTTTTCCTCATTTAATGTAAAAAAAATTTGATGCTATCAGTTTAAATTTTTATATTTTTAAAAATTATTTTTTTTTTAATAAAAATATAGTGCGCTACGTAATTCTGACTGCCTTTATAAAGAATTATTGGTCACAAAATGATTGGTGTATACTGTTGAAAAAGCTTTTTATTATTAATAAACTTTAGCAATACCACTACTATTGCAGGTGAGAAATAGCAAGGCAGCATCAGTACTGAATATCACCATCTATATTGATAGTACAACCATCTCCTAATCCATGGTCACCACTGCTATCACGTACTGTATACACGTTTATCTATTTATTTATTTATTAATATTATCATACTTAATAATATTCGCTCAGTTTGATTTTTTTCAAATTTCATCAGACACTTAACTTATATTGTTACAATCGTTATTGCTATTTACAACGACACAAACTTAGCACTAAAGGTTTTGCTTTAATTTTGAAATGTAATGTAATGAATTCGGGTACGCTAGATATCATACATAGCGTGCTAAGTTAATGCAAATCTTTAAATATAAAGTGTATTTAAATGAATTACCCTTATGTTATATTGTTATACTATTATATATATAAGCGTATATACGTTCATATATATATATATATATATATATATATATATATATATATATATATATAAATGTAACCTAACTAAAATATAGTGGTGCATTAGCATTGTTGTTGTTTTCAAATTGTTTGATGACTTAATGGCAGTTTTTAACAGATTAATTTATCATCATTAAGTGATTTATTATTAATCTATTTTATGTAACTTATTAATTATTATTATAACTTATGTCTACATTTGTATATGTGTTTAATTATTTGTTTATATATATATATATATATATATATATATATATATATATATATATATATATATAAGCAAAACTATAGCAGATTTTTATATTTATTTTGAGTGCATTTTATCAATATATGTACATTTATGTATATATGCAACTAACATATATACATATATATAATATACATGAACGTTGCGTTTACAAATTGTTGACAAATTATGCACTTAATAATATCCAAAAAACATGTACACACAATGTTCTTCTATTCAGTTGATGAAATGCTGTGATGTCCATTGTTCGCTGATGTAAAATGAATTTCGTTAACAAAAAATATTAAAACAAAAATATGAACTTTCTGATGCAGTGTATGTGTGCATGTGCCAGCTTGTGTGTGTTTGAATTGACATTGTGCATCTCGCATGTTTTTGGATTTTAATAAATTAATTTTTTGCGACCAGTTTTTTGTTCATGATTTTCTAGATTTTGCAGTTACTTTACAATTTCATCTAACTGTTTGTTGTGGAACAGCCTTTGAAGGGTTTATCTGAAATTCTAAGATCTTTCAGATTATGATCTTTTTTGTAAAAAGATAGCACTTGTACTGTTCTCAATGGCATCAGTTTTGCAAACACAATGACTTGGCGTTTAAAAAATAATTTCAAATCAATGAAATCAACAGTTCAAAACATTAACTCATCATTTGATTAATGCATACATACTTACATGCATAAGCCATTTATCATTACAAAAACAGCTCAGTACTGCATGTCAATCAATCAAAATTGTTCTCACCATGCAGTGTATTTCATTAAACATGGATGGATTCACTCTTGATTCAAACAAATCTCTGTTCAAATCTTGAGTTGAGTTGGACCATAGGATTTTAAAGACTTCACGGATGAAATATGCTGGAATTGGACACAACATTTTTCAATTCTTTTTCGGGAAGTGGATTCAACCTGAAGCCTTTCCATTCACCACTGCCTTCAAGATCCTGCAACTCTTTCACCTTCTCCTTCAGTAACGTTCTCGTCTTCTCATATTCCTCATTGAGATTTTTCATCTCTGAATAGTTCATTTAAAAGATTTAACGTGAGTTGAAAGTTGTTTTATTAGAAAATAAAATAGAATTACTAAAACACTGCAACAATGAAAAATTATAGTTAATTCAATTCATTGTTCATTTAATTTACCTTTCTCTAGATATTCTTTAGCTTTGTTATGAGTAAATTTTATAAACATATTCTCCATCCAAATTGATACCATTTCTCCATCATCTGGCTCCTTTAGTAGAGCTCTAGAAAATTTACAAAAAATAATTTTAATGGGAGTGCTACTTAGTTATTTATTTGATTGTATGTAGTAGTTACTATACTTACTATTGTATTACTATCAAACTATTTTAAATATTAAAAACAATACTATACAAAATCGAATTGGAAAATTGCATACACTATTAATCATTACCAATTAATTAAAATATTAAATTAATTTAATTAATAAATACTATTGAAATTTTAAATTAACTGTTACTAGGAATTATAATTGTACTACAAACAAATGAAATACAACTCAGCATTGAATTTTACAAGCATACATATAATATAGCAATAGCCATTTAAAAGTCACAACACATCAGCACAACACTAATTGACTAATAATTCAACAAATCAATGGATTAATATTAATATTCTGAACTACCTTGTATTATTAATAACTTTTCTTTCTCTAGTCAACTATATGCTGATGATTCTTATATTTATACTTCTTTTCCTCCATCTAAACTCAATAGTGTTCTTCATAATTTATCTCTATGTCTTTCTTCAATTATCGCTTGGTCTGATTCTGTGTCTTAAACTTAATCCTTCTAAGTTTGAATTAATTTGTTTTAATAAATCTAAACACTCAATTACTATTCCTCCTATTATCTTACCTGATTCTAAAACTCTTGATGTCTCTCATAAGTTTCGTAGTCTAGGTTTTATCTTTGATTCTACTATGTCTCTCTCTTCTCAGATTAATAGTGTTGCTAGAAGCTCTTACTTTCATCTACGTAGAATAAAAAAACTTTTGCCTTTTCTTGATGATC